TATATATAATTTTTCAATAATTTTTCCTTAATCATGAATATACATTTTGTATTTACGAAAATTAAACTTTTTCAATATTAATATAGTTGCTTAATATAGCCGTCGTCGGCGATATATAACATATTAATATAATAATACTCATTGATTATTTAAAGCATGTTAAATATAACTGCTTGATAATACTTTGTACTAATTAGCAAGCTTATCAATACAAATTCTTAAATTCTCTAATTATCTAGAATATTTTAAATGTATCTTAGAGACCTATATATCCTTATTATCTAACATAAGTATAAACTGAAGTTTTAATTCTGTATTTTTTTTTTTTTTTTTTTTTATGTATTTGATTGGAAGGAATAAGAGAGAAATATGTAAAGTTTAGAAAATAGATTTTCCATCTGTAATAAGCAGAGCAATTTTTCATCATTATGATATATACTCCACATATATCTGTATAAGAAATATATTCCATATAAGACATTTTTTGAATTACAAATAATTGCACTTTGTTGCATTATAATGCATATTTTTTATAAACAGTAATCACATACTTGCTTTATAACAATGATTCTTGCATTTGCTTTTGATATATATTTAAGATCAGTATAAATATCATCTTATTACAAATGTCCTTACAAGACACAGTTCAATTTTTAGCTTGTGCAATGGTACTTTGATAACGTAGTGTTACATGTTTAAAAAAGATATAAATTGGATTTACATTCTTTGTGTTTGTTATTTATATATTTAGTACTGAATAAAATATGCCTATAGAAGGCTATGGAAAGTTTCTTGTAAAACAAGATATTCTAATCTTTCTCTCAATGATTCTGATAAAAATTATCGAATATATTTTAAAATGTGGCAGTTAAACAAGGAGCTGGTGTTAAGTACAAGCAGATTATATGTTTGGATAATTAATTGTCCGTCTTGTTTCCCGTTTTACAATTCATTTCAGTATTATTATAATCATTTGCGTTATCAAACTGCAAGTTCCAGATTCTTGCGTCAATATATATATATAAAATAAAAAAAAAAAAAAAGAAAAAAGAAAAAAAAATCTTTCTTGTGATAACAAAGAGTCCAACAATAATTCAGTCTGAATATAAAATGTGGTAATGATATATCACACAAGAAGACCTGTGGTTTTAAGAGATGAACGTTAATACCAAAAGAGAAACCATAATATTATAAAATTACATGATTAGATAAACTATATATATATCGTTATATATATCATTATTGTAGTATTCACTTATGTTTTCTTGTATATTAAAAATATGTTATGATTGATTATATTTTCACATGATGGACATCTTTAAACATGTTATAAAAGTAATTCCCCTGATAGATTTTTGTAAAATTATTTGTATAACGATACGGATATTATGAAAATTGAAAGGAATGTACTCTTATTAGTCTTATGCAAAGTGATAAAATGCATAAAAATAAGTATTCTAATAATACAAAAAAGATATGTGCGTACGAAAAGATGTGTATAAAAAATATGCATACAAATCATCAAATACTTATTCATTTATCGGTGTCATTTCTTGGGACTGTTGGCAATTCGCGTTACTATTAGAGGCTCCGATTTGTGCTAATGCGGATTGGCGCCATTTTCCATTCTCACCATTCAAGTTTTTATCCTCGCATACACATAAGAATAGCGTGTCAATGACAGTCTAAAATTACTTTATTAATAAAAGATTTGGTTCAATCAATTGTGTGCTTGCAAAACGTTGACAAAATGTTACAAGTATGGATAAAAAAATATATGTGACTCACCTCATAAAGAGAAATTATACAATGAGCGATGAAGAATGAAAAAACGCAAACAACAAGGATTGGAATAGCGTAAAAATGTAGCTTGGGATCTTGTCTCATTAAGAGCAATGCGATGCTCCCGGTTGTGGCCGTAACGAAACACTTTCCCAAGAACAATATAAAATCGCCAAATCCATTGATCACTGCTATTTGCAGAGCATTACTGACAAGTGTTGTGAAGGCCTTAAAATAGATAAAATTTACAAATCTCTTATTACATAGTTGACAATAATATACATGTACATATTTCTTATATTTTTCTTTCCCCTCTCTCTCTCTCTTAAGATCACATATCTATAATCTTTCTCTAAATGGAGTCCCCCTATTTTTTTTTTTTATATTATAAATTCTTTGATACACTAAAACATACTGTTTTGGCTGCATCACAGAAGTGGGTACCCTCTATAGCAACAACAGTGTACGCATTATTATTCATATATCGAATAAATTTTTCTAAACAATAGAAACAGCAAATGCAACACTTCAAACCACATTGCGAGCATGGAGATGTTTCCTTAGTCTTTTCAAATCTATGGAATAGTATAAAAAGAGATCATACAACTATATGTTCAACATACGAAATATCTACTATAAAATATTCTATAAATCATATATATATAATATAATAAAATATTACCTAAAGTACCAGTGGGCAACAGAACCAGATATTACCATGGCTTGACATGCAACAATAAATTCCGACGTCCATATCAACCCAATAAGATACACCCACCACATATATTTTACCCAAGTCGCATCAACATATTCCACGAGAGTAAATGCTACAATGTTTAATAACTCATTATTTGATATTCTTCACTGATTAAGACAATCAATTATACAAGTGGAACGATATATATTACTTTTGAAACTCTCCAGAGAAAAATCTATCTTTTTCTCCTCAATTAGTGAAGCATTTTCACTAACTGAACTTAAATTCAAAAGATCAAATATATTGTTTTCGTACATTTGTACCGGTTTAGTCTTGGGATAATCTGTAATAAAGTATAAAAAATACATTTTTCTGATCATGAAATATATATATATCTCTCTCTTTCTTTTGTATTTTCTGATTAAATATTGTAGAATACTTACTGGCCGTTGCGAGACAAAGAATTATAAATACCCAAAAGGCGAAAAACATGATTAAAGTTATAAATGTTAAGACTGGTACGAAAAATAAGCCGGGTAATTCTTTCAAGCATTTTGCGCTCTCTTTGAATAGTGCCGCCATAAAGCTGATGCGTTTAAGGAAATTAAAAAAATATATAATCAATTCTTTTTTATCGAGAAACTTACTTGGTATGTAGATATGTTAAAATTAGTCTGGGCAATTTAAAAATGGTTATCAAAAATGACCCACATGCTACAGAGCCTAAATGATAGCAGGCCAAATGTCCTATGGATAAACACACTGGAGATTTACTTGTAAAGATTTTATTATAAATAATTTTTATATAATTTATATGAACATGTTAATTAATATCTTATTTATAAACTTTATTGTAAAGTCGTACTTACAGTGATAATAGTAGCGATAATGGAAAATGCGAGAAACGCCCTTTCATTTTGGATAGATTCTTCAAGAAGTTCATTTGGGTCAGTTTTATCCAAAGTTTTCTTTATATCAGCATATGTCATCCATAAAAGAATTGTGCCACCTGTAATATAATGTTAGAAATGTGTCTCTGTTATGGGATGTGTTTATTACTAATCTTAAATCTTAATGGAATACTAATTTATATTTGTTTTTATTTGTCATATATGATAATTTCCATAAAAATGTTAAAATTTGCATTTGTATATGACTATATACAATATAAATACAAATAATAATTTGTAAAATAAAAAGCATATGTATCATCTATTGATGTGTTTTTAAAAAATATATTATTGCTATAAATAATGTTCACTAAAATATATAATCAGTTTGACATGATATATTCACTAAGAAAATTTTAATCTGACATTAATATTTTATCAGAATGTATAATTTACCTGTGCAAGCAATGGTTACAAGCACAATTATAATCCATGTCACAATACTTGCCAATAAATGAAAGATGGATATTGTAAGGAGCGATAAAACTAAAAGAAGAGAATTAAATTAATATCTGGTATATAACTTGCATGTATTATAATATAGCAATGCGCGCTAACTTTCTTACCACAAGCGAGGAAAGATAATGCTAAAATTTGCCTCCAGGTTTTGTACAGGTCTCCCAAAACTTGTTTGATAACGTCCCACGAATTGATTAAGCCATATAAATTCGAGATTATCGTTTCGCTCACATCCTGGACCGCCTTAGGGATACAGCGATTTAAAACAGGTATACTAGGGTAAATTGGCGGCTTGGGACAAGATCCGTTCTTGAATTTGCTACTCTCGCTGTTACATGCACTGAAATCACCGCCCGGTCTATCGTGGCATAATTGTGATCCCGTTTCTTTGTAAAATGTACAAATATCATTCATGTCCCACAAGGTTCTGTCGGGACATTGTTTCACACAAATTTTTAACGATTGTGTAACATTTCTTATATCCAGGAAGAATAAGAATCTGGAATATAATATTTTTAGATTATATAGTCATAGATACTTTGAATCTGAGAGATAAAAAGTATAAGATACTGACGGTTTGTCACTGGTATCCTGCCCAGAAAGCTCCATGCTACCAAACTTTGGATTATTCTTCATGCCACATGTATTTCCAAAACTGTCGTATCCATTTATAAGCTGCAAAGGGTTGCCGTACACTATTGCAAAGGCAGCGATCAAGATCTGCAAACAGAAAAGTTGCCCCGTTAGATCCTAAAGCTATTTGTCTATAAAAAATTTATCTGATAAAACTATAAATTATAAATTTTACATAAGTAAATTTAGTAAATAATAAATTATACATAGGTGATTTTTTTTATGGTAAATAATTTAATTTTAATAATTTAATTTAATTAAATAATATAATTTTACATAAAATAAAAAATAAAATGTTTAAGCGTATACAGTAGGCATTAGTTGTGTACCATGAGAAACCAGAATGCTATATAGAGGCAGAGCCAGAAAACATCCGTGCATCCTCGCACCCGCATGGGCTCGGCGCATTCCTCATTCTTGCCACCGGTGCAGCAAGACATTATTTTTTCCGTCGTCTCGCGGATCGCTATTACACCGTTATACAAAGGCACTTATTGAGCAAAGTCGTTATTGTTGTGTCGCCGCGCGTCCCTTTTGACTCGGAGTAATCCACGCCCAGTGCCGTAACGATCGACGGGGGGGAGATAACAGTAAAAGAAACCCAAACCGAGATGTTTATCAATCACGATTAATCCTGTAGTCATTAATAAACGCTCCAGGTATGTTACCGATAATCGCCAGTCTACGCTTTTAATTGACTTAAATATCGCTCCGAGCGAGTTTAGTCGCGTTTTCATCGTCGAAAATAAGCGTACGGATCATTCTCGCGCGTCAATGTTTCGGAAATTTCATCTCTACGGATGTACAGCGTGACAGCCGGAAAGTTTTTTCTCGAGAGCGAGGGCGATTATATTGGTGGACGGCCCTGCGATCGCGTTCCGGCGTAGTATCGTTTCCACGGTAACGAACGCGTACGTCACACGGAGATTAGCGGGGACCGGGGACTTCATTGAAGGCTCCGATATGACAGCCACGGATTATCGCGCCATTTAAGTCCGCGCGGAACGACGGTATGTTGTAGAAACTTTAGACAGGTGTATCGCTAACAAAACAAGCGTTCCCCGGCCTCATCGCGCGCGTTTAATCGCCAAGTTTCAATTGTGAGTATTGTCATTCACAGACATATCGTGTTCCCGATCGCCGCTTTCGCTCTCGAAAATTGTACGGAGCGTCAAAATAGGCCGCCTAGAATATAACCTACACGAGTCAAAAGATTTTCGATTTTCTTCAAGGAAAAGCTAAATCGGAAGCGTGAAAGCTTTATAGCTTAAATCTCGGAACAGACTTCGGTAAACGTTTACCTAGATTTTGAGTATATATACAATTTATTTTTAATTGTTAATATATCGATTTTCCCGAAATTAATAATCATTTTTAATTAAAAATTTATGTAATTCCAAAGCAGAATTTCTTTATTTGATATATCTTAATTAAAAATAATATATGAATAAATCATTAGAGTTGACAATAAAGTTTTAATAAACTTATGAAAGAAGTTATGTAAAAATTTGTAAAAAAAAAACGAGATTATGCGAGCGATCTAATAATGAAAAGTAAATATAGCATATGAAATTGATTTCAGTAATGGAGGAGAATGGAGGTAAGAGAATGAGGGGCAGAACTCGTGGCCGCGGTCGTGGACGTGCCCGGGGTCGGGCTAGAGGAAAATCCAAGAAACAAGTTAAGGTATAAATAAACATCTTAACTTACGTTCTCACTCAAATTGTAATCTGATATGTAATATTTATGCATTGAAATTGCTTCTAGGTTATTGAAAGCGACGATGAAGACACTCCTCAGCAAACAGATGATACCCCTGCAGAGACGGCTGGTAGCGAGCAAGAGGAACACGAACCTCCTGCGACTCAGCAACCTTCTCTCGAGCAGCAGTTCGATCTGGAAGCCGACATATCGCAATTGGAAGCGCCAACTTTCACGACCATCAACCGGGGTCCACCAGAACCAATGCTGCGTTTGAGATGGGACCATCGAGTGAATCTTATAGGAGAGAAAGTACTGAATCCTATGATACACTGCTGTGACAAGTGTCTGAAGCCAATTCTCATATATGGCCGTATGGTATGTTTTATAATTTGTGCTAAAGAGAATCATGTTTTAAATTAGCTATATACTTTTAGATTAAGTAATAAAAAAGAATGGCCAATGAGAGCTTAGATGTAGTAAGTGATGTGTAATAAAGTAGCATATTTATTTCAAATAAAAGTTATATTTTCAAACATTTTGATCCCTTTTGGATCCTTATCAATAGTGACAAATAATAAAATTAAACAGAGAAAAAAAACAATTAATAACAATAGTCATTGGTAGCATTGAAGTATTACATTATGGGCTGTGCGCGACATCATCTGCTTTGCGATACGTTCCATCACTAATGTAATATTTTAATACTGTATTGATAACTATTATTATTAAATGCGTTTAATTTTATTATTTGTTACTATTGATAAGGATCCCAAGGGGATCGAGACGTTTGAAAATATAGCTTTTATTTGAAATAAAAATGCTATTTTATTATACACTACTTACTGTGTCTAATCTCATCCCTTCTTTTTTATTATTTTTATGATTTATATCATTTGAGCCTTGTTTATATTAATTTTTTTATTTTTATATGCTTTCAGATACCTTGTAAACATGTATTCTGTTTATCATGTGCTAAAAGGGAAGACAAAGTCTGTCCTCGTTGCATGGAGAAAGTGTCCAGAGTGGAACAAACTGGTCTAGGCACTGTATTCATGTGTACACACGGTGGGACAAGATATGGTAATGCAGGATGTAGGAGAACATATCTCAGCCAACGAGATCTGCAAGTAAATAATCGTGCATTATGTGAAAAGTTTTTATATAATTTAAGATAAAAATTATTTAATATGTATAATTTAATAATGTGATTTAATATATTTTGTAATCTATTATTATCATCATTATTTATTATATTATTATGTATAGGCTCACATTAATCATCGGCATATATCGGCGCCATCCCAACCAGTCCAAGGGATACAGGTCGATCCTCCGCAATACGTGCATTCAAAGTCGGAGATAGAGTCGCAATTGACGAAGGTATCCTCTGTGTCGATGCAAAATACGCGACTCAAGTCCGTGCAATCTCACATGGTTCAACCGATCATGGGTAATGATCCTCGCGTCAACTCGTTGGTGAGCCAGCAACCAACATTGGAGCAGCATCGGCAACAACACAGACAGCAACAGCAACAGCAGCAGGCAATGATGTCGATGCAAAGCTACGCGCAGAACACCGCGCCGCCTCCGCCACCCCCAAATAACGCCCCGATGCGAACTAATCTAATCACCGTGCCGATTCAAGACACGGCATCTTTAGCCACGCATGATCTTCACGGACAACAAAGTCATCATTATTATCCGCCACCGCCACCGCCGCCGCCACCACCGCCGCAAGTGAATTATGGTTATAATGTGCCGCCGCCGGTGTCGCAGACGACGCAACAATACTATCCGCAGCCGCAGCATCCGACTCAGGTGTCTTATGTGCCACCACCGCCACCGCCGCAGCAGCAACAATATGTGTCATCGGCAGCGACCTCCATTAGACCATCGCCTACTGGTTACATACAGGAACCCCAATACGGTCCGCCCCCGTCTCAGCAACAACCGCCACCTCCACCACAGCCACAGTGGTCGCAACATCAACAGCAGTTTTATAGATAAAGGAAAAAAAGGCTTCCATATGGAATGTTGTGCAGTGTTGAAATGATGGTGACGTGTGAGTATTAAGTTATAAAAATGATGGATACTATATATCTATATACATATATATTGTACAGAATGGATGCGATATCAATGAGAACTTGGCGTTCTTTACGAGATTTTCTACTTTTAAAGATTTTTAAGATAATATACAATTAGTTTAAAGAAATAAAATACTCTCATATGACACAAGCTCTATAATAAGTTATTTTAATTTCGTAATAAAACTCTCATTTATTTTCTATTATGACTCCTTCAATTTCTCGACATTTGACTGATAAAATTAGCATTGGTCTTATATGCTTTATCATATTGCTGGTATTCTACTATAAAAAATGATCAATTTAATATAATATTTATCATTTCAAGAAAGTTATCGAAATGTTTATGATATAATTGCATATTGATGCAAAACGTTAATAGTAAGATTACATTTCTTGATAAGAGCCATGCAAATATTTTTGAAATGTTTTTAGAATACTCAAGAATTCAGAATATGTTTACGGATTATTAAGAGAATTTTCCAAATCTCTATAACATTTTCAATCATATCAGTTGTAATACATATTATGTGGTAATGAAATTAAGGATATTTCGTCAGTAGAATTTAATATTGTACAGATTATAACGGTTGTAACTTATGTACAAAACTACTGATATACATACAACATGTACATGTAATAATAATAATTATTACATTATATTCTTAAAACATGCCTCATGTGAATTCAACAAGTCATTCATCAGTCATTCAACTAGTTTTGGCCTTCCATTTTCCAGCATACTCATAGTAATAAATATTAATTGACTAAATACTTGTAATAAAAGTACTTAAAAGATTTGTCGAGAATGCTGCACACGAATAGAAGATCAAAATTGTTCAGAATACATTCACACATAGAGAATTTTATCACGCCATACATAAAAATAGTTCTTAATTTCATTCCATATGTATATATCGCTATATATATAATCACTGCCCCTTTTTAATATCTTGTTCCCTTTACGTTTACATCAATCTTTATTATATTTACAAAGTCGACTATGAAATTGCGGATTTTATATACATATCTCTTATTATTCATTATAATTATTACTATTTAAGCTATATATAATATATATACGTGAATGTATCTATGAATGAATGAAAAATGTGTTATGCATTTTATATAATATTAAATACATTTTTATATAAAATAAGCAACCTTATATAAAATATGAAGTTATGCTACTAAAACTGAAATTTTCATACATGCTACATAACTTTATCTAGAAACTTTAATAAAAAAAAATAGCTTTAAATTATAAAGAATAAATGTTAAAAAATGAATGTAAGTTATAGTAGATTATAATATATTAGAAGTTTTTTTATTGAAAAAGAAATATATATTAAAAGAAAAGAGAAATATATATATTAAAAGAAAATTGAAATGTGTGTAGAATGTTTTGCATTATAACAAAATTAGTCGATTTTAACATATATCTGCAAGTTAACAGGGAGATATTCTATTGCATTTTTTAAGGTACAATATTTACCATAAAGTAAAATATTAAATCTGTGTCCATTTTTCTTTTTAATTTCATACATGATTATGTCGCTGTATGCATTGGACTGAAAGCATTTTTATATTGTATATTGTTATTAAATCATTACCGAATTTTTTGATGGAACAGTGCGCTCTAATTGTATGGCACTATAAATCTATGAGGTCACCTTTTTACAGTAATATTAAAATTCTTATATCATTCATTGATTTCTCTATCATTTTCAGTAACAAAGAACACTATTTTACTTCTTGGAAAATAGTATTGTATAATGCAAAGATTGATTTTACATTTTCCACTTTTAAAAATCTTCTAAAGATTATATTCCTTTAAATGCCGGCATTAATATGGCATGATAATCAATAAAGAGTATTATATAAAATCTGTGATACATCGTTGTATAATAAAGACAATAATATAAAGATATTTTAATTACTAATACAGAATAAAATAGATACTATACAGAAATAAAACCTATTGCATGAAACAAAAGTTAGAATTTTTATTAGATAAATTAATTTTCATTTTTTTAAGGTAGCAATACATTAATTATAATTATTTCTTTCTGAGAATTATGAGTTAAGATCTTTCATCTTTTTCTGCATAAAAAAGTTTGATGAAAAATTAAAACTACATATTTTTGTATTAGAATAGTAGTTATTAGCAAATGTAATAACATTGGAATTTTTTTATGTAATATTCTATTGATATGAATATTATAAGAAAATAGATATATGTAACTAATAATTTAATAATATTTGTGAGAAAATAATTTAACAATATAGTGATCTAAATTATAGCGATAATATATGTTCCATTCATAGATACATAGTTAAAAAAATATTTTTAGACTCATTATTGAGTACAGCCATATTATAAACCTGCCATAATTATATGTACTCTTTAGAAGTTTTTCAATGCAATTTATAAATCTATTGAAATTTAGTCAGTCTCATATAATCACGTACTAGTAGTAGGATGATTGTGTATATTGACACTGACTTGTGGAATAAGTGGTGATGCAAGTGGCTTGGGTGTAGTGGATTCAGGTATTGGTATGGAAACTGCAGGAGGGACAGGAGAGTGTTTTTTAGCTCTGTCTGGTTGCCAAGGTTTTGCGTGATCTTTGTTTAATCTCTCACTCAGTGCTTTCAATGCTATTTGCCTGCAAAGTAGACATTGAGATTGGAAAGATCAAGATAACAATAATTTGCAAAATTATGCTTCAAAAACTGGCTTTAAATATTTTAAATATTGAAAATTGAATTCCCATATTTATATCATGTGTTTTATTTTATAGATACTCACCTGCGTCGTTCGCTATCATGTGGATCAATACCAGGAAGATTAATAATCAAGCCAGGCGGCGTGTTGGACATGTCAAATCTTCTAACTACTTTTCGGCAAAGTCCAATACGTACAAAAAATCCATGTATAGTATTACTTACTACTGCTATTGGCGGTTGCAAGACATTTGGAAAAAAGCTGTAAGAGAAGCTCAAGATGAAGCAATCGAACCGTTAGTATTTCACAAATGTAGTAAAATTACAAAATTTTTACCTTGCAAATGTAAAATTATCTGCCATGTCTCCTCGAGTACCATTATTGTGTTTTTGATAAAATCTTAGATATATCCAAGATATCAACAGTCCACTGAGAAACATAGTGGGATGAGTACCTTCTAGTAATCCAATAAGCCATAATATCAATCCCACAATCCATACCATTAAGGGTATATTTCTATTTGTGATCTTTCCAATGGGTGTCTTGATTAAGATATGATCTGGCATTATTTGCTTCACTGCTACTGCGACTCCTATAAAATAAAATTATCATATTCTTAAGAGAAAATCTCTATAAATAATATATATATTTTTTTGGCTTGCAAAAAGTACAAACATTTTATAATTATAAATAATATCAAGAATATTTCAAAACCAATTTTATCAATGCTCTTGATTGATGAATTAACTTTAGTCTACAATTTTACTAATTGTCAGTGATACATGTAGAATAAGAAATTCAGTCAAACTAAGATTTGTGGTGGCCAGTAGCGACACTACACCAATTACATGAAAAAAAAAAGATACCTGCAATGTAGCCAGTCAATCCGTGTATGTGTATGTTAAAGAGCAGATCCGGATTGTTGGTGCACATATAGAGGAATAGGTAGAAGAGCGCCGAGAGCACGGCGACGCCGAAGTTGACGATGGCGAAGAAAGTCATCATCTCGAAAGCACCCCATAGAGGCTCGATCAATTTGCCGCAGAGGCCGACGGTCACGATGTCCGCACATACTTCCCAAAAGTGTATCTCCAAGAAGCAGAAGGTGAAGGCCGTCCAGAACCAGAAGACCGGTGGCAGGAGGTAACCTGGCGTTACGCTCAGGATGCGCACCGCCTCCTCGGAAAAGGATAGGCAATAGGAGAACAACACCACCACGCAGATGAACTTGACGCTGGTGCTCGTGTTGCCTAATAGGGCTGCAGCCTGTTGCCTCAAGTAAGGGATATTCCTACCCAGGCCCTTTATCGCCGCCATCGCCGCGAGCAAACCTAACCTCTTCTACTTCGCGCGCCCCGAAGAATGACAAGTGCTACCGTCTGACGTTGATAGCAAAAGTTGACGGGTTGCGTTCCAAGATGTAACTCTCGTCGGAGGAGAGTGTCTGATTGACCAATCAGGGCAAACAGATTTTTTCCCGATTGATCAATCAAACGCTACTCCATCCGACGAGTAGATTTTCGAACGCAACCATATAACGTCGATTGAAAATGTTCGATACGTAATATCAAGCATCGATTTCTATTGGTTGATATCCGGAATCGAGACGCTTCAGTTTCAAAATTCAAAAACGCGGGCATTGCGCGTCAGCACGTCGTCATTCCTATTTTGTTTGCATCTTCGCTCGATCGTTGACGTTGAACTGCGCAAAATTGGGGATCCTTGTGGAATCGCGCGAGATGTCGAGTAAATGCAGATACTATCTCGTAAGTTTTTCCACACAATTGTATCGTCTTGATCCGAGTAACGATCAATAAAGGCTAATATAAAGTCATTTTAGATCAAAAACTCCGAATACAAAGCGTGGCAGTTTGCGCTCGAGTAACTTAACCCAGTTAATTTTTTTTATGGACAAACGTTATATAAAGAAATGCATTACTGATAAAGATGATAGAGATATTTGGGTCACGATATAATTTCGGAAAAATTTAACACACATTTTGCTTTTCACGTCGTTAGCAAATATACCCTCGCACGATTATCCTTTTTTTCTGATTTATTTTTATACTTAATAATAATGAAAAATTATATATATTTATTTCCTTTTTATGCTCATAAGTTTTATGTACATTTTTCGATCTTTGAATAATTTCACGTAATAATAGAAAAATTCTCATAAATTTCACATACATATGAGATGAGATATATAATTATAATCTTATATGTGATGTTTTTTCTATCTAAGTTTCTACCTACAATATCTCAGTTCCAAAATATTTACATCTATAATTTGCATATATTTTTATATTTACATAATACATACAATATTTTTACAATTACATAATTTTTTTAAAATTATTTATTGTGTATCAAACAAAAATCTGTAATAATCTACTTATCTCTTGATTTGAGAATATTACTATTTATAGGTAAATGTTGTTACTAGGAAGTTATAGTGTGACGCTTTGTCGCGGTGAGGCGCCACGCTAGTTATTTTGCAAAAATTGCACATTTCGTTTCCCGCCACATCCCCGCGATATTATTCGCAAATTCGTCGATTTCTTCCAAAGTTACCGTTATCTTTCTCTCTCGCCGTTTCCACGCACACAAGTGATAGTTTAGATTTGATTCACGAATCATTATCGGCTTGCGATATCGAAGACGACGCGACATTTGGAGGAAATTAATTATTCCAAAAGCAAAACTATTGCAACATTAGTGGACTTCGCGCGTCGACGAACAACAGGTAGAATGCATTACATGTTATGTAATAAATATTAATCTGATGATATATTTGTCATGTTTGTACAAAATCAATTCATTAAAAGTTGCGATTTATTCTGTGGATATCAAATTTTTTTTGATCGGTGGTGTTCGTTTTGAATCCAAAATCACAGTTGACGATTGTATCGAAAAGATTAAATTCTACATTTTATAGGTGACTTGAATTTAATTGCCGAGTGTTTACTACTGTAACATAAGCAGTAAGAGCTGAATTTAGCATAAATTATACAATCCACATATATAGATAAAATTCTAGAAAATAGAAGAGGAAAAATTGTAACGAGAGCATATAAATATAAATAATAGGGCGATAGCGATTGCCTATAATACTACTTCCATCAAGCTAAAATTTCTAAAATATAAAGAAACAAAATTTTATCCCAATTTTAAAATCTTGAACTGAAAGGTGTGACGATTATTTTATTTGAATTAAAAAAGACAATAAAAAAATTTTTTTAGGTAAAGTAATTAATGCTAATTAAACTATAATAAAATGTTCTCTTTTTATGACGTAGGCTGTACAACCGTCGATCATCTACGAGGCAAGAGCTTTGTCAGTCTTGAATTCTATCGCCTGCGGAAATACACACAGCTTTCAAGAATAATAACGGAACTTGTCTGTTATCTCTGGAGCAAGAGAATCGATTGAAAGCGCATGAAGAAAATTTGGAGCAAACTCATCAATTAAAAGATCCCTGCGAGAACAGCAGCGACGAGATCAATTGCAGAATGCCACACGGTTAACTGGGTTTTCAACAAAGGAATGAGCAGCCCTCGAAACCAATTGAGGTAAATAAAAAAATAATAACACAAAAATATATTTTTTGTATTGTTCATTTAACCATGGGCTATATATGTATGTATATACCGAGACTGAATAAGATTTAATGGAAATATTCATAATGATTGAAACTTGAGATTGCAAATTGTGGGACATCCTGTAGTACATATGATAGAACCAATTTTTTTTAACAGAAAGCAATTTTACATTTGAATAATTTGCGTTCAATATGATATATTATAAAGAACGAAGAAAAATAGAATACGCTTATTACTTGAGTACTTTTGTTAACAGATTTTTTCGTGTGTACGTTCGTTCGAGATATTGTTATTTGTGCATTTATATGTCGCGTTGCGAAATACTTTTAATCGATCGCTCCCGATTGTCACTCTGTGCATAGTATTTATATACGTAACTGCTTGCATCACAATCGTGATGGGCGGCCAAATCAGATAGAATTGAGGATTATGAGCACAGATATTTCTAATACTACGGGCGAGAGTTGGACAAAAGTGATCGTATCCATTTGCGAGTCTTCTTCCCTCTGTCGCGAGTCTAGGACGGTCGCTGACATCCCCGATACCGCATCGTCATCGAGACGGAAGTGCTCGTGTCCATCACGGCCGTTAACGGCGATTCGCTGCGCGCCTTTTCGCAGACGGGTGTCTTTCAGCGACACCACTGCCTTTATCGGGACCGCCGCCGATCATCATTGTCGCCGTGCTACAATCATGCAAGATGACGATCCAGCAAGCTCATGTCACGATAATAGGAGAGAATCCGAGAGTAATTCGAGAGAACGGGAGAATTTCGACTACGACATATGGCAGGCGGACGATTCATCGACCGGCAGAAGCGATGACGGATACTCGGAAAGTACGCCGAGGATCGATAATTACGCGGAAAGTCGTTGCGTATCAGGTTGCATTTTCGACAACGACAAGGGCCAGCGTCCACATTTGGAAGATATCGACGGGCAAACGATCGAGAACGATGGATACAGGCGAGAGGAATGGGGCGGCGAGAGCGAAGTCTGTTCGATGGTTCGCGTGACTGAAAATAAGAAACAAAAAATGAGAAAAGTCGACGAAGATGATACCATATCAAATGAGGACCTATCAAACCACATACACAAAGATATAGATTCGGTCGTTGACAATGAGCATCGTATGCGAGGAGGTTGCGGTGGATGTTGCTGTGGAGCACGTGAGAAGTGGGTACAACATCATTCTCGTGAATATCTATAAATGGACAAAATTTACCGGATAAAATCCAGCTTTATTATTTTTCATATTTTTTTGCAATATTTTTTTACTGGAATAATATCACCTATTAACGAAGATTTATAATAGATCATTTGGAAAAAGTCGCATCATAAATTTGCTTTGAAAATATTCAGGCAAAGTAAACATTGCAAATGTTACTATAAATCTTTTAAGTATGTGCAAATATTTATTGACACGATATTTATGATACAATGTCTCGACGCGGTATTAGCATCCGGAGGAATTACGGTTGTTGTTCTGGAGGATTCGTGCCAGAGCCAAATGAATCATGCGCGTCCAATGCGAACGCCAAAGCAGCATGCACCGTGCCGTCGCGTTGCTGCTGTCGTCCTCGAGTCTGCAAGAAAGCGGCCAAATGCGAAACGCCTCCATGCACGACAGACGTCCGAAGTTGTGGCGGCGGTAGATGTTGCGGTAACGGGTGTCGTTGCGAGAAATCTGGTCAGATCTGTATACCGTCGCCGAGAATCTGCAATTCGCCAGCTTATTCTTTGCGTGGAAGGTCGCCCTGCGCACCGCGTTGTCCTTCACAGTCACCGTGTCCTAGCAGTGGCTGTTACACTGGAGCCTTCGAATGTACAAGGTGCAAATCTCGCTTCTAGATTCTCTGCATAGGATGTCCCATGATGTATTTTCAAGACTTTTAAAGACGATTCTTAACTTATTGATATTCTCATTTTCCAATTAAAATTATAATTTGTTGAATATGTAATAATAAAGAAAAAATAAATTTAAAAAAGCGTAGAGAATACTCTCATTAATTCAGTTTGCATTAAGGCTGCGGGGCTTTCGTATATGACAGGAGTTTGGCATCGTATCTCGAGTATGCATAAGAGTAATTTCAATCTATGCACGCAGGTCGAGCAGTCCGAGATGCCGGTCCATCATTGATAGTGGATGCTGCATCAGCGATGGAGCAAAGTGTGGTACCGATGGAGCCTGCTGCCGGCTGAGATTGCAATGCGAATGCCTTGGTGGCGGCCTCGACTGTCGGCGATGCGGAAGAAAAGTCTACCAGGCTGAGATGCAGGTAAGTAAAATATTATTAAGAATACATTGGAATCTGGATCGTATAACCAAGCTCAGTAAAAAAATATAATGTATGAATAATATCTATTCAATGACACAAATAGGAATATAAAAGAAACATTTTACGCTGCACGATAATAAATCAAGATATAAAGTAAAAAGCAGAATAAAATTTTGAGAGGAATATTAGATATTGTTACGTAAAATTTATTATTTTCCAAGATTGTTTCCGGAGTACCATACCATAGCATTTGCTTCAGTTGCTTTTGTTGCCGAAAGCCATTGGAATCGCTGACTTATCAGGAGAACTGCGGCGAGATTTATTGCAAACGTTAGTATTATTAAATTATGGAAGACACAGACATATTCGAAATTTTTTACGAGATAAATCCTTTTTGTGTCCTTCCTTTCGTGTTTTTTTTCTAATATTTTTAAAATGCTATATAAATACCTCTCTCTTGTACACTTAATATTCTTTAATTGGATAATATTAGACTAAGTTCGATCGGTTAATATCGGTATTAATTGAGTTTCTTCGATAAATTGTACAGAATGTTACGTTCGTAATTTCGGACCGCAAGGATATGGTTATGGCGCGGGAGCCGGCGTACTGCAGACTCCTTTGTGAACTCGTCGACTACCTAATATCGGTCGCATATTCACATATGAAAGTATTCAAGTATAGTTATAAAAATTTTTTCTCACGCGCTCCTCTGTTTCTTTACGACAGTCATATAATGTCATACAAGAGTATAGTATTAGACGTTTTTGTGATATCATGACGTTTTGTATGTTTCGTATACACGATATTTGGTGGGCGTTTTTATCGAATAAATCTTGTTGCAAATACTCGATATTGTTTATGATATTTAATCTAGTTTATTCGATAATAAGCCGTGAAAGGCAAATAAAACGCGAACATGCAAAAGTGCGAGTTGCGAATTAAGAGAAAAACGGGGAGTAGAAAAAAATTCGCGAAGTATGAGGAGGAATAAAATAGCCACTTTGTACGAGAAAAGAGAGAAGTGATATATATTCGGTTTTTATCGAGTCTCTTTGCCAGCTAACATTCGCAAAATAACTCGTCAAGGACCGATCGTAGAATAAACTGGATAAAATAGAGAGGAGGGTTACGTAGGAATTCACAAGGCGAGAAAAGTGGAAACAGGAAAAGATTCGCGATGTAGGGGAAAGATTGAACGCGAATACGGGTGCCGCTATATTTTGGGAGAGGAAGAGGACGGAGGGAAGCGCGCATACACACGGAGATACGTTCGCGGGTTTGCAAAACAGAGAACGAGAGGCTAAAGACGAGAGGGAGGACGAGGAAAGAGTGAGTGGTTGGTTTATTGAGTCTCTCTCTCCGGCGCGGTGGATTTGCGCCGAGGAAGGCGCAGGCGGAGGGGCGTTTATATAGCTTTCAGGCGCAGAAGCTTAATCTAATTTCAAATATAAATCTATTCTCCGTTCTCTCTCCTTCTTTCTCATACTCCGTTCCGCATTCTCTTTTTCTCTTCTCTCGCTCTTTTCCGTCCACCTGCCGTTGCTGGCGTCCTTCCTTCCTATCCATGTAGCGGCGCGCTTACATTATTTCCCATTAACGTTACGAGACACGACGACTTAGCGTACTATTCAACTGGCGAACGCACCGGCTTTGTCGTTCTACGTTTTTTACATAAGTACAATTATGGGCACAGCAACACGTTAAATCTAAGAAGAAAGTCGTATAAGAATATTTCCCTTTTTTATGCTAGCTTACAAACAATCAATGCTAAACTTTTGTGTGTGACGAGTATTTTCTATAGAATTTATAGAACCGGCAAATATAGGTCTTTAAAAGTTTATGAAAAGCGCATCAATACGCCCGAAATTTTCGAGCTTTTTCAAGACAAGCCACAGATTTATTTATAGACTTTATTCTAAGTCGAATAAAATCTCCATAAATTTTTTTCAGATATAATATATAAATAATCTAGACTCCTTTTGTGCGTCTCGCTCTGTCTACGATTTATTCAATAAGACTTAACATTATAAAAAATCCGTTTATCCGAGCGATTCTGGTCGAATTCCACCGGTCTTGTTTACGCAGAGAGACTCGTCGCGAGAGTTTGTCGACGATTACGCGCGACCGCGGAATATTTACACTATAGCTTGGAACAATTCCGGATTTTTTTTTACCCCGCTCGTCGCCCGGGACTCTATGCCAATTTACCAATGTAAACTCGGCGTATTTAAATTGGCCTCGGGCCGGAGGACTCGGGAATTTAAAAACGCTAGCTGCAATTTTTTTTCCGCTACCACGGCGGCGACGGCGGTGGCGGTGGCGGAGCACCGGTGCATCGAAATCGGCAAAATATCTCTTTCCATTTGACGGCCGCTGATTCGGCCCGGGTCTTTTGTGCCGCTGCGTGGCGCGCTTATTTCGAACCGGTATGAAAATCAATTATTTCGTTAATTCGTGCGTTACATTGGCTGTCACGGGGCCATCACTGTGAGCGACAGCGGCCCAAGGCGCTATTTTTCAATTCCCGATGTCGCCCTCGCCTTTCGCGAACCCGTATTTCCGTTTCGCTCTGTCGTCCCCGGCGGCCTTATCCCTATCCCTCTCTCTATTCCTCAATGTTGGGTCCAGCATTCCGGAAGCTCGCTAAGATTCAAATTGCCGTTTAATTCGCCGTAGCTACCAGCCTGCTACGAGAAATTTAAAATCGTTCTTTTAAAATTCGAGATTATGGGAACTTCAAGATTGAGTTATATGTGAATCCGCGTATTTTAAAACGAGATAAATCACTCGTGGTGATTGTAATTCAGTAAAATTAAATATATATCTCATTAATTTTGCTTGCAAGAATATTAATATTATTGAAATATTATGCGAAGAAATAAAATCGATAAATGCGCTCCGATATTGACTTTTGGCAAAACAATCCCCAATTGACCGCGCCATTCTGTATTTCGAAAAAAAAAAAAATTAAATTATATTTTCACAATAATTGATTGTGTGCAATATCTGTCAAGATCTTTTACAAATGAAGAAAGAGAATAACTTTTTAGCATATTTTTATTTCTTTTACAGAAAAATTACACGAAATGTTGCGAAATTGGGCTCGAAATTATACAAATTAATGCAACAAATATCCTCAAAATGAAAATAATATATGGTGTAAAATATTTATACTATCCTGCGATAATTGAGTTTTTTCAGAGTCGTTTTTTTTTTTTACGCGAGAAAAACTGTTTGTTATATTTTTAACGTACATAATGTGCTTGTTCGTAACATTTGTAAAAGTTCCTTTAATTCGGTTGTTCCATATGCAAAAGTTACTTTAATTTATTGCAATGCGTCTGACTGGTCCTAATTAACGTACAGCGCGAATAAAACACGCTACGGTTGATGCGTGATATGAGTTCCAGTCTCTACATCGTCGTTCCGCGAACGAGTGTATAATTAATTACCAGCATTTGGACATGCGCGTAACAGCAATGAAATCGCGACGGCAACGATTTGCGAGAGAAAGAGAAAGAGGGAGAGAGAGAAATCGACTATATGTATACCTACCTACGGTATATAACTAATATCATCTCATTTGTCAAAGTACGATACATCGTCTTTCGGCGTCTCTACGATCGAAAGCACCTTTTAGGGGAGGACAAACGCCGGACCCCAAAATGTGGGGCCCCCAAACACTGTCACAACATACGATGTGTTAAAAGCAGCGCGGTATTAATAGCGTGTTATGAATTAGCCATTTTTGTTCCGAAGCGGCACAAGTAGGTCACCGAATTCCCATGATACGTTTTCAATTGGCAGGCAACAGAGTATATTCCGGGCTTTTATAAAAATCGATCATTTAAATAAATGCACGCACACAACACGAGAAAGAATAGAAATAAGTTTTCAGTAAAAAATATTCTACGCAATCATCTATATCAACAATTTCAATAAATAAAAGCAACAACTTTTGTTTATATGTTTTTAACTAATAATAATAGAAAGTCAAATACTGAGGTGAAATCACATTATTTGTTTATTAGTTGAATAAATAAATTCTCAATAAGCGTCTCTCTCTCTCTCTCTCTCTCTCTCTTTCTCCTTGCGATAGTTTAAAAGATATATATATATATATATATATATATATATATATATGCTGTTTGTGATTAATTTCAATAAGAAGATAAGGAAACATTATGCGGTTCAGAATAAATTAGATACATATCATTTAGTATTGAAATGATCACGCAGTGAATAAAAATAAAGGCTGTGTGAAATGGCAGATGCAGTTTGCGGTTAGAGAAGTGAATGGCTTTAACCAGATCTCGCGGGATAAAATTCAGGGAGTGGAGGAGGGGTGACCATAATCTTACCCCGTGTGTCTAATTGCCTGACGCGTGGATACTACCGTAAAGAATCTCACACGTGCATTTGGAATGCATTGAAGTCCATTCACTATAGTGCTGAAGGGGTAAAGGGTCATTTTCTAAATGACGCTTATCGAATCGAGCAATATTTAAATCGAATTAATAACGCGAACTTAGGGAGACTCGCGTTTTATTTCTCTTTGTTATTCATTTATTTAACATATTGATTCGTATACAAGAAAACCGAGTAACGAGGAATGTATTATTATATTCGTCTAATTTCCATAAGCAAATATATTATTTTATTTATATTATTAATTTTTTTTAGATAATTAGTTATATAATTATGAGTTGCAGTGACCTTTCAAATTTAAAAAAAAAAAAAAATAAATGAAATAGAATTTTATGCAATGTTTTTTTCTAGTATTACATTTGATGAAGCGAGATCATTTATTTGAAATTAAATAAAAAAAACTCTGATATTATTAATGACCTCATGTGACTGACAATTAAAGCAAGCATAAAATAAATCGCGTACACAAATTTTCGAGCATGGATAACATTTTGACTCATTTTAAATCTAGAAGCGAGGGGTTAAAGAGAAAAAAAAATTTCTCGATGGACGGAATCAGTTAATTCCTTGGATAAGAGCCATTTCGATCTCCTCGTCCGTGAAGCGATTGACGAGAGAGAGAGAGAGAGAGCGCAACACGATATAATAACAAAAACATTAATAATAATACGCCGAAGAGCGGGACCGGGTCCCGATGTGTGCAACGTGCGCGCGCGCGTGTTTAATTTGCATGGTATAAATCGTGTTTCCGGTCGAGCACGCAACGCAAACACGCGTTACATTTGCGCTCTCGGTCGGTTTCCCTCCTCGGATCGACGAGAGAAAGAGCCGTCGTTCTCTCGCGTCGCGTCGCGCATTGTGACCCCGCTAATTTATGATTCGATAAATAAATCAGCGCCATTTCGTCTCTTCTTTCTCCTGTAGCGTCCCCCTCCTGTTCCTCCCTCCGTTGTTGTTATTGTTACTCTCGCTCGCGCACACTTGTAAGATGATCTCGGGGATTACGCCCAGTTAACCATCACACGGTTACCATCGTCGGACCATCGAAAAGGGTAGATCGGCCCTACCTCTCTCTTTTCTTCGGCTACTGAATTCTCTTCTGCGTTCGTTCAGCGTACCAGACACGCCGATACGTTACGTTTCATGATCCGCACGTGTATCATGAATATTCATAGCGCGCTATTGCACGCGCCGCT